GTGATTCGTGAGGGAGGAAAGAGTGCACACCTTGCAATTTTAAAATGTAACACATAAAATTGTAGGGTAACTTACGATAACTGTCATAGTCAGCCAGTACCCAATTTAAGGACTACTGTTATTCATTAACAATTGACTTTAGACAATTAAGAAATGATGAGTAAACAGTCAATTTGGCCTCTAAATTTGGAAGCCATTGTTCTATTAATTCTTGAATCGAAGAAAATTATAAAAATAAAATAAAACTTAAGTGTGAATTAACAATCAAATTAGTCTAAAACTCAAAAAGATGCATAACTAGAATGATAATATTAAGTCATATATTTATGGATCAAAATGACAGTAAGTAAAATAAAACTTATTTTACATTTTTTTAATTTTAGAAAATAATGTGATAGCCCTTACCAATTTTAAAGACAAAAGAGGCTGTTTATTCATTAGAAAATACAACAGTTATAGATGTTTCCAAATCTGGGCAGCCATACCGAGAAGTGTACTAAATCAGAAAACATTTTTTTTGTTTTGGTTTCTTGTTCCTTCAGACTCACAATAAATGTCAACATCTTTCCTATTGAAGATTCAAACATTGTTTGTCATATTCAGCATGTCAAGATACAAGCAATAAGTATTTTTGAGAACTTCTCTACTAAAAAACAAATCCTTATTTTTAGCAGTGAATTTCTCAAAAACTCTTCTAAACTTATATCCAAACAAGCACATTGTTAGAGACTAATCTCCTCCAATTGATCTTACTCCCGATGGTATCACTATCAGAAAACAAGTTGTTGAAAGAAGCCAATTATGCAAAAATCCGCAGCTAAGCAAACAATCTAAAAGAAGGCCACTGAAACGGTAAATCCAAAGAAAGTATGCTGCTGTGTGAAATTAGCCCAAAGAAGTAGCTTTAGGTAAACTAAACTTAAAAACTTGTTGATGAGTGAACACAAAATGGCCAACGGACGAAAAACAAACGAAGCTTTAGGTAAGAAGAGTTTGACAGTGACCAGTGACCACTGAGAGAGCAAAACGCAGTTTCCAGCTCTTCACTCAGAAATCACGTTTTACCAAAGCTTCTGCGTTTGGGTTCTAACTATAAAACTCGTGCTATAGCTCATTTTCATTTGCTGACAGTGGCGCTTGTTTTCTTAGAGTACAAGTATTATTTAATTTTATTTATTCAGAACTAAATTTAAAACGATCTGGATGTGAAAAATGAGATGAAGCTAGAAAAGGCACGCAAGTAGGTTGGCATTCACAGAGCATAATGAAAAAATCGCAGAAAATTGGAAGGGAAGAGGAAAAACCTTAAAGGGCGGGAGATCAGGAGCCGCGAGTGGGGAAAAGCGCGAGTGGGAAAGCTAGGGTTTTGAAAATTGGGGGAAACAATTCAATTATGGATGGGATCGGAGAGGAACTCAACTCGCTTGCCTCACTCGCTCCTCTCTCACTCCGCATTCACGGCGCGTCTTATTGCTACTTTCTCTTCTATTTTTATTTCCTCTTCACTCCCCCACACGCATCCTTCACTCCCCGTACGACGACGTAGCGCGTGACACACCTTCTCTTCACATGTCTACAACTTTCTCCTACCCCCACTCTGCACCACATTGCGTTTAGTTCACTCTCTTTTTCTTTTTTCACACCAACCCTTACTAATTACTTATATTTAAGAAGAAAACCAAAGTAATTTAACAAATAACCACTATTCACTCGCAACAAAATTTTATTTTGTAAATAATTTTAAGCGAATATCTATATTTAGTAAAAATATATATATCAATTTTGTATAAAAACTTTCAAATAAACTAGGCTTAAATATGTTTAAACAACCTCGAATTAGCTCGATTTTCAGATTATTATTTTTTAAATCTTTTTTTTTGTTAAACTTATTTGACAAATTTTTTTTTCAATTTAATACTTGACGTTAGTTTTCTCTGTTAAATGATGACGTGGCAAATGGATTGTCACATCATCACTCAACAGTGTCTGCCACATCATCCTAAGGACTGCCACATGGACATGGTGATGATGTGGCAAACACTGTTGGGTGATGACGTGACAGTCCGTCTGCCACGTCATCACTTGACAGAGAGGAATCAACCTCAGGTACTAAATTGAAGAGAAAAAAAATAGTCAGGTGTTTAAAATAAAAAATAATAAATTAATAAGTAATAATCTGAAAACCGATCTAATTGGAGGTAGTAATACGAAAAATCAACCTAATTGAAAGTAGTAATCTAAAAACCGACCTAATTGAAGGTAGTAATCTGAAAATTGTCACTGAAGGACAACCTATTTTGAGGCCACCATATTTCGATTACATAAATTACACTGAGTGAAAAGAGCGTATGTGAATATTCATACAATCCATCGACTTCAAACTTTGGTTTATCATAAAAAAATTGGACCAAAAATTTCAACAAAGATAGTGGACAATAAGGAAGTGGAGAAAAGTGAAAATTAATAAGATGAAGAAGACATAAAACACCTGTAATTAGAAAACAAAAGCAACAAATGCACATAAATTAGCTTCTCATTCATTATGTATGGAAACTATTGCACTTGATTATAAAAAAAGAAAATTATGATTATATTAAAACTCAGTATATATATAATATATGTGTGTGTAATATTTATATTTACTAATAATAAGTTTTTAAATAAAAATTTAATTTCAAATCTTATGAATTTTACTTGTAAGATAAGAAAGTTAATGCCACAAATATTCACTTAACTTTTTTATATTTATATCAAATCTTTTTTTTTAACGTTTCCATCACGTAATAAATAAAAAAAAGTTTGAAGTCGATGAATTGTATGAATATTCGTATACGCTCCTTTCACTCAGTGTAATTTATGCAATCGAAATATGGTGACCTTAAAATAAATTGTCCTTCAGTGACAATTTTCAGATTACTACCTTCAATTAGGTCGATTTTTAGATTACTACTTTCAATTAGGTTGGTTTTCAGATTACTACCTCCAATTAGGTCGGTTTTCAAATTACTACCTATTAATTTATTATTTTTTGTTTTAAATACCTGACTAATTTTTTTTAATTTAGTACTTGATGTTGGTCCCCCTCTGTCAAGTGATGACATGGCAGACAGACTGCCACGTCATCACCCAACATTGTTTGCCACATCATCATCATGTCCATGTGGCAGTCCCTTCGATGACGTGGCAGACACTATTGGGTGATGACGTGGCAAACCGTTTGTCACGTCATCATTTAACAAAGAAAACTAACGTCAGGTACTAAATTGAAGAAAAAAAATTTATCAAGTAATTTTAACAAAAAAAAAATTAAAAAGTAGTAATCTGAAAATCGAGCTAATTCGAAGTAATTTAAACATATTTAAGCCAATAAACTAAAACCTATGAATATGATAACTCTAAAAATTGGAAGTACTTAATAGCTATTAGATAAATAATCTCAGTTTTCTTCTAATATTCACCTGAATTATATTACATGTAAACCTATTTTTGTAAACTCTGGTTATCTCATTCTGTTTTGTAATTTAAATTACTTATTAAGAACCACGATAATAATATGTTTTAAGATCCAAAATCTTGTTTAATAACCAATTTTTTTTTGCAGAAATTAAAATGATAACTTATGTTTAATACGGATCAAAAATTCAAAATAGACATATATCGCAAACATGCACAAAGTCAAGAAGGAAGAAACTGATCATAAGATATAGTAGTCTCAAATATTAATAGCGCATTCAACCTAATTAAGAAGTGTGTTATTTACTTGTATGCAGCTTTTACTAATCCTTTTTTCAACATACTAGTCAAGCTCATTTGGATTTTTTATTTTTTTCTCGACGCCTTCACAAGGAGAGTTTGTAGTGAAAGAGAGTCAGACCCATTTTTACAATAATTTTCTAGTAATAATCAAATCCTGATTTCAACTGTTAACTAAAAGTTTGACTAATCTTTCATATATTTTAGAGTGAAAATGATATATATGTGCCTCATTTTTATAATAAATATATCTTCCTTCTCTCCTTTCCTCCTCCACCCTAAATTTTCCAAATATATATAATAGTCAGAAGTACTTTTTAGAATAATATTTTAAAATATAATTTTAAATAATATTTTTGAAACAATATATATACTTTTTAAAAATATATTTTAAAATATAGTTTCGAAAATTACTTTTAGAAACATTGTAATTTTCGTTTAAAATGGTGTCTTAGTAAGGAAATGTTATATTCACTTATGCTTTAGATGAGGAGGAGCAAATGAGAATGTTAAAGAATGTTGTGAAATATAATGTCAAGATCTTTATTGAGAATAAAGGAATTGTGGGTGTGAACAGAACAAGAAAAGACGAGCGATAAAAGAAAGAAGGTTTGAAATAGTTTAGGAAAGAAGAAACTCAGCTAAATTAGTTCTTTAGTTTTTTTTTTCTTCTAAATTTTTTAAAAATTTAAAATGGAAATTGTTCCGGTCAAGGGATGTACTAGGGTTTCTGCCTAGGTCTAGCCTCAAAGCCAGAGCATTCAAAAGTGTAATCTCATTTCTCAACTCTAGGGTTTTGGGTTTTATGGTACGTCGTTCATGGGCCTCTTGGGCCCCGAGAATAAAGGAATTTCCCTAACCATTCTTATCTTGATGGCGCGAGGTTAAAGGGGATAAGTCTAGTCGGGTTCTTACCGACTGGGTCCGCGCAGGAGACCCAGTCGGGTTAATGCCGAGTAGTCTCCTTAATCCTTTTAGGCGAGAGGAATCGAGTCCCCCAGGTCGAGTCGAGTCATGACCGACTAGGTCTATGCTGAGCCCTCGGTCGGGTTGGTGCCGAGTAGGCATGGTCGCCCCACTGTCGAATAGAGGTGCAGGTCGGATTTCAACCTGGACGACACAAAAATAATAACTTTCGACCTAATAGTTTTAGACGCATGTCATGAATAACCGATCAAATAAATCAAATAGGCCTTATTCTTTATAGATCTCAACTTTAAGAGTTTAATATTTGAATTATGGATGCATAATCAATCAAATAAATCAAATTACTGAATTGAGTCAATTTTATCCACCTATGTTACATAGATATAATATGAAATCGTAGTGTTTCCAAATTCAACATTTTTTAAGAATGGACACATCTTAGACACGTATAGGACATTTTGACAGATTATGTTCACACAAATTAGACACGTCTCCATTACGGATATCTACAAAAGTATCGTGTTTCTATCATGGATGCTTACAAAACTGACGCGTCTGTATCATAGACACCTGCAAATGAATATGTCTTCATCTCAATACGTGGATTTGAGATTTTTTTAAAAAACAAATAATAAATCTTGATAAAAATAAAAACAAATAAAAGATTATTTGAGTTATATTCACGTTACATTTTTATATTATATATATGTCATGTTCACGTGTTTTATATTTTCTTATTTTATCATATCTTCATATCTATGTCTATATCATGTTTAAATTTGTGTTACATATATAATTATCAACTTTAATATTTTATCACATTATTTTAATTCAAAATTATTAATTACTCACGTTTTAAACATGCGTTATCACTCGTGATAAAATAATAAGATGTATTAATATAATTACAATATTATGTTGTTTCATCATTAAATATTAAAATAATATATTTGTAGACGTGTTATATATTTATACGGACCATTCATATCAAAATGAGAACTTTATTTTTATTATAACTAAAACATAATATATCAAAATATAGTTAAAACTCCAAGCGTGTGGTTCAGCGGTAGGGGTTGATCCACGCTTAAGCAAGGTTAGGAGTTTGAATCCTACCTTGTGTATGCAGTCGCGTTAAATTTTGGGGCCAGCTATCCCACCCTTTGAGGTGCCTCCAACCTAGCGAGGAAATTAGTCACTACTGTCGGGGTATCCAGAGCCGAACAAAAAAATATATAGTTAAGAAATTTTAGAAGTTATACGTTGTGATATTATTATAACTTGATTATAAATTTATATTATTTTATCAATATTGTAACATCTATCACATTTGCATTGTTGCTCGTACATTTTGTGGTAACCTCCTAAAAAGTAATTTTGTCACAACTAACCTTTTATATAACTGAAGGTAATTACTGAGACAAAGATTACGTTTTTTTTTTAATAAGGAGATATAAATTTTTAAACCGGATCAAGCTTTTTTTTACACGAATAAAATAATACTCCTAATCACGAAATAAATTCTTCTAAAAAAGTTTATCGAATTAAATTACATATTCGTGCTCGTGCACCCAAATCTATTTGAATAGATGCATGTACGTAAGGGTCCATTCTGTGATATTTTATTCTTGGGAAGTATGGAAATTTTTTTAGGTACATTTATTCTTGTAAAATTTGATATGTTGATATAGTTAATTGGGCAATTAAACCACGAGAGTAAATAGATGCAGCGGGGGGAAGAATTTTAAGGGAGGGAGAGGTTAACATTGAAAAAAGGTAGAAAAAATTGTAAAATGACATATATATAAAATTAAAAAATAAGGTTAATTGTCTTTAATTTTTTTATTTAATTTCCACTTTAACCAAATAAAAACATGTTATTATCCGTTTATTTTATTTTTCTCTTGTCTAAGCACACTGAACAAGTGTGTGTTGGGTGGTGCGGAAGCATTTGCTTTTGCTTACTAAATTTGTTTCCCAATGCACCACTTTGTTTTATTTATTTTTTTCCTCTTTTGTGAGTGGCTCAACTCTTTTAAGCTACACGCTCAACTGATTGATGCTGTTCGATTGGTTCAGCTAAAAAAAAAAAAAAAAAAAGTAAAAAACATGGGAAACGAGAGTTCCATAGCATTTATTCTCACACGGATTCCACACGAGATAGGGTGAACCCTTTCACGAGAGAAATTAATTAGAACAATATCAAATGGCATCGTATGAAAACGTTAGTAGTCCACTAGTAGAATCCTATATTGTCTTAATGTTTTGGTCCAAAACATATTTAGGGTTTTAGGATTTATTGTAGGTAAATGGTAAAAATAAAAATATTTAAAAGTATAATTTATTCATATTTATTTTAGGATTAAAGTAATTATAATTGATTGTATATGGGTTTATGGACCTTGAGAGAATTTCAAGATTTGATAAGATAATATAAATATCATATTTTGACATATTATTTTTATTAAAAATAAGATTTAATTCATATTTTCTGTATCAAAATAATATATTAGTAACCTATCCCATTTCAATAAATTCATTTGAGTGTATCCATCTTGGAGGGTGATACACTTACAAATATAGGTGATAAATTAAGAGGAAGAAAAATTCCATAATTTATATACTGCCTTCCCTTACTAGAAGGCAGAAACATTTTGTATCTAAAGCAAGGTTTTATAACCGCAGATTCGTTTCCGCACAAACAAAAGGTTTGAGCTTTTCACATCTAAAACGTCTGGTTTCGTGCCTTACACGTGCACTTGAACTTGTTCTCTATTGGATCCTTTCCTATAAATACCCTTCACATGCTCTTGAGACTTACAAAAGCGAAAACGTTCCGTGTTTTGAGACATATTTTTGTTGTACTACACACGTACTGCAATAACTACATTGATTCTGTTTCTTGCAGCGAATGGTTAGAGGAGGCATCACCAAAGCAAACTCGTTGCTTCTCGGGTAAATTATCATTAATAGTTCCCTTCAATGTTGTAACTTGAAATACTGTATAGAGTAGTAGTATATCTTTTTTAGACATAGACAAAACTAGGACTGATCTACATACTTCATAGAGTAGTATATTTGTGTTGAATAGATATTAATTTCTTTACCATGATATGTTTGTTCATTTGAATGCTAATTAATGAAAGGAGAGAATCTTTGATTGATAGTCGTAATCCTTTTCAGATTTTTATTTGTATTTTTGTGGAGAACTTCAAAGATCATGTCATGATCTAACATATGGCAAATGCAATGCGAAGGTCATGCAGGGCAGCTAAGAGAGCAAAGAGTGGACTTAGCAAATTCTCAGGCACTGCTGCTGCAGAAAACTCTGGAGGAGTTAAGAGTGGTGGGAAGATAGAGGGTTCATCGGATTGGTGGGTCCCACACCCACGCACAGGAATTTACTTCCCAAAAGGGCATGAGTGGGTGATGGAAGATGTTCCAGCAGATGCAGCTCGTTTAAACCAGACTTATTGGTTCAGAAATGTTGATGGTGTGGACAAATAATCACGAACACCAACCTTAATTAATCTGTGTTACATCAAGATTGGTCAGACCACATGATACAGACCATGTATTAATCTTTGAGACAACTAGTTTAAGGGCAATTCAGTGGTACAAGAAGTAGTGATGACTTTTTAAGCATGCATAATGATTATATGTATCGTAAGTTTATTAAGCTAAGCTATCTGTATCACAAGCCTAGTTTCTTAGCTTCTTTCTGTTGCTATTGGTACAGTTATATATTTATAAGCACTAAATAAAGTAGCCAATAATATTAATCACAAAAAGATCATCTTCGCATCTGGATGGATTCTAATTTACATTTTACATCACGAACTTTTGTGTTATAAATTAGTTGGATAGTGTTTTCAAGTTTTTCTAAAGGAATAATAATATGAAAGCCTAGTTTGTGGTGCAGCTTGAACTTTCTGTTGCACCGTCAGGTGATTGTTTTCCAGCACGAGTACTCGAATAATTAAGTCTCACAGGAAAAAAGCGTTTTCAATCATAAAAGCATTTATGCCGACTGCAATTATTTGTTCAAATTCTAACGATATTTGACAGTTGATTAACAACTTCTTTCTGTGTTGAAATGGCTTAGGAAAAGCGAGAGATATCATTGCCCTGCCATCTTAATGCTGCATGTATACGGTCATTTTTTGACCCATAATTACTGTGCATGTATGATGTATTATTATGTATCACTTATTTGAGTTAAAGTGTGAAGAAATTCACATGTCGATTATATTAGAGTTAGATATATTTAATAATATATAAATGAGAAAGATGTATTTATTAATAAATATCTTAAAATTTTAAATTATGATGTAGTATAAAATTCATTGTGTAATTTATTCCCTACTCATTTAAGTGCTGTCCGGTGTTGAAGTCCCCACCCAACATCTCTCGGTGGATCCAAAGAGAAGCAGTGAAGCATAGAGGCAGAGATAATTTTTGGAGTTTAGTCAATATACAATGTTATAAATTAAAGATCTCAGATCATCAACTAAATAAAATATGTTTTAATATAACTTCTTAAATGAGTATTTTTATATTCAACAAATTTATTATACAATATAGATTTTGATTAAATGACCGTATATAGCATGTAATTTTTTTTTCTTCTTATTTTTAATAGTTATATTTTATTTTGCAGGGTGGCAAGAAAACGGCCATTCATGGGTAAAGATGGAAAACAGTCCAGGTCCTACATGTTAAATATAAGATAAGTTTATTTTTCATCTCTTAAATTTAAAATTAATTTTTAAATTTTTTAAAATTTAAAATTTTAATTTTAATTTTTATATTTAAATCTTATTAAAATATTTGTCAAACATTAAATCTAGATAATGCTTCATAATTTTTTCAATTTATCATTTTCGTATATATTATTATAATGTTGAGAGACTAAAATAAGATTTTTAAATATTATAAAGACTAAAAAAAATAATTTTAAATATGAAGAACTAAAAATATATTTAAGTCAAATATTTATTAATTTTTATAAAATAAAAAAATTACGTATGTTAACAAAATAATCTCATCTATTGACAGAAGTTTCAAATTTCATAAACACGACCTTTTTTTTATGTGAAACTCGTGATTTTCAAATATAATTTTATAATTTAATTTTAAAAAATGGCAAGTGGTGAATTAAATGCAAACTTTTGTTAGAAAAATGGATTTTAAAATACGATTTCCAGTTTTCTTTTATCTTTTTCAAAAATAAAATTCATATTTATAAAATACGACTTCCATTTAAAAAGTTATGTTACAAATACACGATAATTTTGTAAAAGTAGTAGATCTTAAGAATTAAAAGATACAAATTAATCCAAATGGATAAAAGAGCTCAAGTGTTCAGTACTTTCTTACAAATAATCATCCTTATCCCACACTCCACCATTACTCAATAATGAGCATTGAGAAGGCATATTCACTCGAGAATGAAGATCCCACTAAATAAAGTTTAATATTAAATATATTTTCTTTGAATATTAAATATTATTAATAATTATAGATTAAAAACTAAATAATTTTAATTGGAAATAAATTTTAAATAAATGAAATATCAAGGATTTGTAAAATAAATATGAATATATAATAAAAATTTATAAAATGCAATCCCATAATTGATAAGTTATTAGTTTATTTTATATTTAATAAAAATATAAACTGCAGTCTGTAGAAAATAACGTATGCAATCGTAAATAATATAGAGTTCGACATAGATAACATAAAAAATGAAATAATGTATTTTTCAATTTTTATTTTATATAAAATTAAAATATATCATTTTTAACCATATACCTTTTTCTATTTTTATATGAATTAAATATAGAGAAAAAATTTCAATATATAGTTTAAATTTACTGGTATAATTTTAAATGATATATTAAGTTATTATTTATGATTTAATTTCAAACTATATAAAATTAATATATAAGAAAAATAAAAAAAATAAAAAATTATAATTTAGTTTAGTTAAAATCTAATTTAATTTATTATTATAACTAGTATTCTAGTATGCATAATATATAGGTTAATTAATATTTATTATATAATTTAAATTTAAATTAAATTATGTATATAAATAAATATTATATCTGGATATATAAATTATATTAATATAAATAGATATTTTAAATATATCAATTATATTTTA